TCAAATTGCGCACTGAGACACTGCCTGAGCAAGATAATTAGTCATGTGGGTAGGGTTGGGCCCAGCAACAACGACTCAGACGACAGCGAGCATAATTTTCACGCAATTACCAAGCCCCCATCCACCACGGACGAGGAAATCATGGCAATTAATGAGTCGAACGCTAAGTGTCAAGCCAGTACCGCACAAATTAAGACCAAAACGGTGGCTACAGAACAGGATAATTATCGTACGCACGCAGATGATCACTATGTTCTATAAATACCATGCCACCCGTGCACGTTTGAACCCTATCTGCGCATGATTACGATTATGGCTATGACACCATTACCTATGATTAAGGATTCCCGACGGAATCCGAAACGTCAAGACAATAAAACTCTTGTTCCAGTGGTCGCTTACTCTAAACTGCTTCTTGGAACTCACATATTCACCCCTATTGGCGACCTGATTAATGATTGAAAAGCAAATCATACGATGTATGGCAATTATTCAAGCGCGCACCCTGCCATTGTTTATATTCTCGATGTAAACTCGCAAGACAAAGAGTTCATGACGCAGTAGGTTATTGTTTGACTTTTAATAAACAGGTTGTGGGTTGCAGCCTCGGGGAGTGCACCACGTGGGAGTGGGTATGGCTGGCTGATGACGGCTAACAAACCAGAAATGCCCATGGCAACCTCCCTTGTCTTTACCGGTAATTTTATTCCGCAGTTTATACTACTACAGTCTGCTCATTGGCAGCAAGTGCATATTTCGCAGTCGTTAACGAGTTTCAGCCCAACACTACACTTACAATTTCCGTCTACGCCTATAGACCTTAAATATACTTATGTATTATTTGTTTGTGCACCGATTTATTCCTCAGGATGCGCCCATCCTGGGACAATGCTTTTGCGGGTCGGATCAACCGATTGTGTTCCGAAAAGCTACTGATAATCGATATGTTACTAGCCAACTGTCAGTAACACATCTTTTTTTATGTTTTTATAGGAGTATTCCGGAAGACACTTGGCGTACTGTGAGATAGCTATTTCGGGCTATTGGCCCTCATCAGCGGCGAACAGAAATTCTCTTCTACTGGATTTGAAAATGGTCTTCCCAAGAAATATAATTTGATAGAAAAGATTCTTTGGGAAACGTCAACGAACTTTATTGCAACATTTTCGACGCTGGTACACCAGATCGTCGTCGGACGTGGGGAAAATGTGTAAAAAGCTGTGCGCATTTTTACACATTTCTCCCACGTCCGACGATAACCTGATGTGCCGGCGTGGAAAATTTTGCTATAGAGTTTGTTTGCGTTTCCCAAAGGATATTTTCTATCAAATTCATTTCTACGGAACTTAAAAAAAGGAACTTTCAAAACCAGTTTATTAACCAGAAAGCAAACAAAGAAAGCGAGGGCGCACACTGATGAGCCTAACCCCTCACATCTGTAGCAAGCAGCAGCAAAATACCGACGAAACATGTGTCTAGGCCTTTTAGCTAGTTCCTGGGATGTTAGTATGGTAAGTTGCCACAGCAATACAACAAAATTATTCCTATTCTTATGTTGAGAAGACAAGTTGGCAAACATATTTTTTCAGCAAATCATCATCAGGCCAGAACATCTTCAGAGTAATTAAAACTGTACAGATGTACAGGGTTAAATAGTGTAGTCTTATTGCAATTCATCGTTTACGCGTCGCCCGCATGGCGAGGTCGGCGTGTAGAGGTTCTTGCGTCGGGGGAGGGGGAAGGGGTAGGGTGGAAAAGACCGACTCTATTTAACCCTGTCCATCTGTACAGTTTTAATTACCCTGAAAATGTTCTGGCCTGATGATGACGTTTGCCAACTTGACTTCCCAACAAAATTAATTAAGCAACCCTTCCTAATTGGAAACGCATCTTGGCTTTCGATAGGTACTGACTGTTTGGTTAGTCAGGCAGGCTTTGGAATTGCAACTGTTGTCGGACAGTTAGGCAGTTTTCTATTTTAAGGTTAGTGCTTCCTTTTAACCTATACTTCGAACATACTGTGTATGTATTGTGTTCATATATTCATTTTTTTATATTCACAATGTTAGTGGATTATCAGATGCAGACAAAGCGAGAGGTGAGAAAGACGACTACGTGAACGAACGCGTAGACGCTACAATGCAAATAAAGGTCATCTGGTGCAGCTCAGTCAACACGTAATTCTTAAAAAAGACGATATGTTGACGCTGAAAAGCATAAGTTGTCGATAAAAGAAATCTTTAAATTAATCGAACTAGCTTCAAAATCTGTAGTATTGTAGGATCAACAAGGGCTCCACGGTAAAATTCTTCACGACTGATTGAACCATCGCCATCGAGATCAAGCCGCTTGAAGAAGGTTTTTACATGTTGCTCAGGGGACATTTGACCCAGGTAAGCCGTCTCAGAGCCTCGAATTCCGAGAAGACCGTACATCGCCTAAAAGGTAAAAAAAGTTGTGACTGCTATTAGAACGTTTTCATATAGATGAACGTAAAATTGTAATGATAATTATAATATCATATCCGATCAGAGGCACATCAGTATTGTCCACAGACCACTGCCAAATTCTGTTACCGAAAATGTGGAATTAATTAACAACAATAAAAATACCAAAAAGGGAGGAAATTGGTTTATGTTGTAGGCGATGGTCGGGGATCAGGTAAATGGAGTGATAATTGATGTCATTTGCACGGAGCGAACGACTGTCACTAGGTCGTGGAGGCGATGTGCGATCGCCTCCTGGCGTCGCGGTCGGCTACGGAAGTAAAGAGCTTGTTCAGAAGAAGAAGATGCGATCATTAGAACAAGAATTTTATTTTCCTGACGTATCGAATTCTGTCGAGAATCCTTAATCATCCCTAATCCTTAATCATATGATTAAGGATTCACGACAGAATCCGAAACGTCAGGAAAATAAATTTCTTGTTCCAGTGATCGCATCTTCTTCTTCTGCACTGCCTTCTGGAACCCGCACATTCTCCTCTATTGGGAAAGAGCTTGTGTTCAGAGGAAGAAGATGCGATCACTGGAACAAGAGTTTTATTTGCCTGATGTTTCG